AACCTGACCATGTTTTATCTGGGAACTGTAGAAAATGTGGTTCTGCATGATTTGTTAAAGTATTTAAATGCTTTATATCTGTCCAATACTCATGGTTCAAATAAATAGAATAGTCTGCTAACTTACTCCAGCACTTTTCAGTGAAAAATTATAAGATTGCAAAGCACCAGTTGTCCTAAAACCTCTGGAGTTACAGAAGCAATGTTAATATCCACATCTAATGGATACGAGTAGCCTCATCAGTATGGGGACAGCCTGTGAAACAGCATTCCTTGCCTAGAAGGTAATGTCACTTTGAACTCGACCCTGTGAAGCAGCAGACTGACTGAGAAGGGAAAGGAATTCAGAAGAATATGGGTGGGATTAGCAATTGGCCAATACCAAACCCAAGATAGCACTGCACCCTTGGTCTGACCCAGTCCTTCCATCACACACTTAGAACTGACATACTTTGGTTGAGCAGTTCAGCATGTTACCTACCTTCAAGTCCAACCAGGACCCCGAAAATAGGAAGCTCTTTCTCATCCTCTCCCCTGAGTTCTAACCAGAGCATTCTCCCAGGGAACAGGAGATCCAGGTTTAACTGCACATCACCTACAGCTAAAGCAGAGGAGAAGACCAGCTACCAGCCTGCTGGCATTTCCACCTCTCCTGCATCAATAATTTAACTTTGCAGTCACTTACCAGAAGGGAGCTCAACCCTGCTCTAGCAACCAAGCACCACCAACACCCGAGCTACAGGTCCGCTTCCAAGGCCTGGTTGTTTTTCTACATGTAGGACTACCTGTGTTGACACCTGCAACTGCAATGCCTGTCTTCCCTTCCTGAATGGGTCCCTCTTCCACCCCATCTCTGGTCTCAAACCCTGAATTAAGTCACCTTAAGACACCTCATCTACTTCAGAGCAATTCCATGTTCAAGGGCTTTTCTGATTTTGGGGACGCCACCCAAAACTACTGGAAATGCAAACTTCCTGAGAGAAAGGTTGTATGATGCTTGTGGATACTGACTGACTGAACATCACTAACACTGGAGTAATTCAAAGCTCAGCCTGTCTAAGCTGACCAGGCAAAGCAGCAGCAGATCTCATCGCAGTGTTTTGCTCTGACCTGTCTATTTCTAGGGAAGCAGCCAACTTTCAAACAGTTCAAATGTTCTATCCCTGAGTGTTCAAAGGTAAAAGCCTCATCTCATGAGTTCATAAAGATGTCCAGCATGAGACAAACAGATATTACAATGAATATTTCACAGAGAGGCATATAGCACTGAACTGGTGTGACATAGCTGTAGTAAAGATCTACTCACCTCTTCACAAAAAAGAGTGATGAGGACTTACTTCTACAAGCTTTAATGAAAACTACTTTCTGGCACCACTATGATTTACCTGCAGAATGTCCTAGAGGCAACTTAATTCTGTCAACTGCTTCTTAAGTTTCAGTGTTGGTTTACACAGGACAACTAGTTGATCAGAACCCCAATGAAAGTAACTTACAAATGTCTGGAGCATTGAGATTATTTAAATCTGCATCTTTAAATCATGAAACCGTAGGTGTAGACTAAACGGAAGATAGGTAGGTAAGAGGCTTCTATCAATTTCTTGCCAAACATTATTTCCACAGATCAAGCAGCACAGAATGATCGTAACAGACTTCAAAGACACAGCAGCTCATCCTCTTGCAACAAGATGGGATCAACACAGCAAAGATAACCATATGAACACACACCACCTATACACATACACACGCTATGCTCAGATCTCAGACTGATAAGTTATCAGAAGCCCACAGCTGAAAAAACTCTCCAATTCTCACAATGTGTTTGCTTGTAAAGGCTATTAATCTGAAAATTCAACTGCTGTGATGTTTAAGTATCTGAACCCCAAGTTTGAGCAGGGTTAGATTATATGTACAGAAATCGTGGTGTATAAACATAGTCATGAAAACTACCCTATCAAATACCAACTCTTCAACTCCCCACCACACCGGCTCTCATAAATGAGCATTAGGGAGAAGATTCAAATGTTCCGACATCTACTACACCAAGATAAAACAAGAAAAAGGCACAAGTGTCACCTGGTACTTAGCTAACACATTTCTGAGTTACCTCTAACCAAAAGCCTGGATGATGGATGTGCCGTAAATCCAACACACGGCCACACCTGGAGACAGGTGTGAAGGTTTTATTAAAACTGGATACTCCAACAATTATGACAAGAGGAACTCAGCAGCAGTGACTGCAGTCCCCTGTCATATAAGGAATGGTGCTTCATAATCAGTTTTCTGCAAATAATGTCACAGAGATTGCTGGAAAACCTTTTATTTTATTTACACTGCATAAAGGTAAGAGGCTTTCCTTCAGGAACAAAGGTGAATAATTAAAAAACAGCAAATGTTTAAATATTTTGCTGAGGTGGAGTTCGTAATGGCTAATTGTTAGGTAAGTGTTTCAGAATGAAATATCAATATTATAAAATAATGGTTTTAAGAAGAATAAAAAGTGGAAAGTACCCATCACTTACCACACAGTCCTTTGATTGATATGAGGTTCATGCAAGCAAGAGATTTTTTTCTCAAGGAGTTTGGAATGTGGAGAATTGTCATCTTTTAAACCACAGCTCTGGCTTCCAACTCCAGTGTTCTCTTTTGTTTAGGTGTCATTTTTGTATCAGCAGGGAGAGTGATTTTAAGTCACCAATTTCTGTGCTTTTGAAGCCTTTTTTAAATTCTTTTCAACTCAACATGGCTTAGACAGGCAGAAGTGGGCAGATTAGCTTGACAGCCTGCATCCACTACTCACTTCCAAGGTTTTGGTGCAATATGCACCCTGCACATACCGAGGCACCCGGCATGACTCTTAAGTCCTTTGAATCAAAGGCATTAGCTCCTGTCAGAATGTCAGAGCTTACACCAAGGGTGAGAAAGATTTGCAAATAAACAAAAGAAACAAACCTCAAGAGTATATCTGGAAATCCCCTTTTTTGCTAATTAAACATTCAGATAGGATTAGGGCACACAGATCATTATTATCTGAAAAGACTGCTACAGAAAAAGTTTTATGTTTATTTATACATACCATGAAAGTGGGAAAACAAACCTTTAAGCGTGGGTATTGGACTGGAGAGCCAGCTAAATTTCCAATCCTCGCTTAAACATTACTGAAATCTTGGCCTAATACAGCTCTGAAACCCAAGTCTCAGAATTTGAATTGCCATTAATTTTGGCTAGCAGTCAGCATTTCACATGCTGTAGAAATATATTTGTGGAGGCAAAGTCAGAGAATGCCTGGTGGTTTGTATGGAACCACACCAAGGATCACAGGTCCTTGCACCAAGGAAATGCGCCTGAGATGAAGTTCTCGATGCAACATAAATTTCTGTTCTTACTTCTTCTAGGTTTTCTCTTTGCTTGGCACTTTGCAATTATATTTTTAAAGCTTCATTTTCCTCATAAAGAGAAAAAGTATGATTGCTAGACCACTAAGATCTTTAAACTCCAGCCAGCAAGGATTTCTAAATTGCAATTTTCCTTAAAAAGTCTGGGTAGCATTTACCACCATGGATGTTAATACTCAAGCCAAGAAAGCAATAAGGAGAGTTTCTTGGAGTGATCTTAACTGAAATACACATAATTACAGAAAACAAAGCCAAAAGAGGTTGCTTTCATGATTCAACTTTCTTACTTCTCGATTTCTACACAGTGTAAGTGACCAGCATTCCATACCATCAATGGGTGTTTTTAAACTACCTTCTAGATGCTTGCTTAAGCAACAAGGCTGCTTTAAGAAGCACCTAGTGAAAAGTCTTCTGGCAGACAACAGCAATTACAGTGCAACAGATAACTATTACTGCTGCCCACGTTGCTCCATTCCATGCCAGCATTCCATTTTTACCTGTGTAAAATGTCTCACTTTCATGACACTGAGCATAATAAGTTACTACGCTCTTAGCAAAAGATAACTATTGAAACAATTTGTTACATATACAAAGTGGCTCCCTTTTCAAGATGAAATAATTCAACAACTAAATAATGCTCTAATTATGTTTAACACGCAAATGTATTAATTTAAAACATTGCTACAGGAGACATCATACTGATGCTGGTTTAATTCTGGGATTTTGAACTGATACTCTGGACCCGAGCTTGTAAATCTCACTCACGCACTCACATATGGCCTTCAGAAAGCATTAAAAAAAATACAAGATCAAGTGATTTTAAAAATCATATAGGTTTTATAAAAACATTATTATGCGTTGCAAAAGTGTATTACATTACAAAGAGCCTTTTGCCCATTAGAATTTACAAAACACTTTGCAATATATTCTTTTAAAGAAAGACTATATGTATTTCATTATGGGCAGGTAACAGTTCATATCAAAACTTGATCAAATAAAAGACAGTCCATAGCTTTCGCATTATCTAACTAGAAGTACGTACATTGTCAAAAATATGGATGTGTTTAGAAATTACTGTTCTTGTCTATAAAAACAGAAAACATAATCTGCAAGTATCTCACCTGAAGACTTAAAATTTCAAAAGTTAAAAGACTCAGAACAGAGCAGGTATACAACGGTAACCTTAGAAACACTTTCTTAAAATCAGAGAAACTGTTCTTTTATTTTTCTGAGTATTCCAGCTCAGAAGAGTAATGATGTAAATTAACAGGGAAGAAGAAAAACAAGACTGAGTGGAAAACCAGCCCTGAGGTAAGGCAGAAACATTATTATTTTTTCTTACTTGTTTGTTTCTTTGGCTTTTTGTTACTTTCAAGCTACCACATAGGTATGAAAGGAAATTTGTCATAGGTTTTAACAATTACATCACATCACATAGGTAATTATTCTGACACAACACAATAGATTTAAAAAATAGCCTAGAGTTGTTCTTTTTCTTCAGACTCTTTTCTTCAGACTCCATTTCGGAACCCATCCCTCTATTCTTTCATTTTTTTAATTCTAAAATTAGATTGAGAGGATAGAATAGCCACCTGCATACTTTTTCTAATTACAGCCTCCCACATCTTCCTTTTCTTCTTGAGGGTTTTTTATAGAAAAGTTCTTCAAAAACCATGCTTTCGTCTTCCACCTGATTTTCCAAGTCTTGATCATGCTCTGAGCCTGTATTAAAAGCAAGGAATTAATGCAGAATGGAAAACCTCAACACCTTCTCCTCTTAACAGTACAACGAGCTGTGGCATTGCTATTTTATATGTCAGCAGCACACCTTCATATGCCTATAATCATGTTTAAGAAGTATTTGGCTTCATATGACAATGTGCTTAAGGAGCTCTGCTAGGAAGTTGAAACCGTTAAACCTCTTGCTGCACTAGTAATTAATTTTTACACTGAAAATGTTTTGTTATTACTTTTGACTTTTTTAATAAGTATCTCTCTCCTCTCTCAAGGTTTAGTTTCAGCAGACAATACACTTGCTTACGGATTGCAAAGACAGACTGTCGCATTGCTTGTGAACAATTCCCATGTAGACTTATTAACTACATCTCTCTTGGAACACTTAAGTGTAACACAAGGCTTTATCACAATCCCATTTTCTAAATTAGAGCTACAATAACGTTTCAGATCTAGTGCAATTTCTAAGTCCCATCACTTCATTATTGCCTCACCATGCAATTGGTGCAATCCCACCCACTAACTACATGCTGAAACCTAAACAAACAATGAGGTCTTAAACTTGTCCTCAGAGGTCTGTGATGCAATAGACTGCACCAAAGTTTGTTACTTTTGGTGTGAAACCACATTTAATGGGAGTGAAAACAAAAAGAAAGCAAACTGCATATAACATGTTTTTCCACAGCACACTTAGAAGCAACCTAAGGATTAGTTTTGTTAGGAGGCTGGTTTCCAAGAACTTGGATCCACACTGCTCATAAACACACAGCTGCAGCAGAGTTCAGAAACGGCACTATCTTGCTGGTGAATATGAAGATAGAAACTTGGACAGAGAGGACAGAAGAGAAATGATCCCAAAGGCTACACCTAGACCTGAGTTAGTGTGCATCTTGTGTGCCTGTGTGCACAAACACACACGTACTTTATGCAGGCTGGGTAGATTTAGATTAGCTGTTCGGAAGAAATTCTTCACTCTGAGGGTGGTGAGACACTGGCAGGGGTTGCCCAGAGAAGCTGTGGATGCCTCATCCCTGGGAGTGTTCAAGACCAGGTCGGACGGGGCTTTGAGCAACCTGGTCTGATGGGAGTGTCCCTGCTCATGGCAGGGGGGGTTGGAACAAGATGATCTTAAACGCCCCTCCCAAACCAAACCATTTGGATTCTATGATTTTGGCCACTCTTGTCGCCAGCTGTGAGACTCATGCTCTGTTTTAAAGAGCCAATGAACAAAGACGGGTTTAAGTCACATTTTCCAGAGTGCCCCTGTGGACGTGCCCATTTCTTGTTGCCTAGAGGGTAAGTGAGTATCCACAACACTGCTGACCTGGAAACTAAAGAGATGCTAAGAGACCATCACGGAACAGTATCCTCTAAAGGGCACAGAAATCTGTACAACTTAAGAACCTACCTTCTTCTTTTATCCTATGAGAATCTATTTTCTTCAGCCACTTACGAGCCTCATCAATGGTGGCAACCAGTTTGGTGGTGTGTTTGGTTATGATTTCTTCAGCTGAAATAGAAGCACAATTAACATTCTGTCGTAACACCAGCTGAGAGATAGACAGCAGCTAAAAGTTACACCAAACAAGGCTACACAGAGCTGTTTTTTACGATGCTGCTGCAAAGCAAGAAGTAGTCACCAGTGATCTCGTTACTGGGGTGAAGACGCTGTATGTTGATTGGAATGGGGAGTAATACATTACCAGCACTACAACAGAGAAGCTCTCCATCCTTCTGCTGTCTCCTTTGAAGTACACCTAAAAGTCCTGAAAGCATCCTGGTTTATCTATTTTTGGGTATTAAAGTCACCAGCTTTCATTATCCCTTGAAATCATGCAAGGCAAAGTAAACCACGGCCCCAAGATGCTGCAGCCTTTACTTCGTTGCAGCATTAAAGACTTGAAAAATGATTGTTATGAAATGACAGAAAAGTAATCTCAAAGGCAAACAGTTTCTGTAAATATATTTTCACTGAGCGGTCATAACAAAATCAACTATTACCTAATTAAGCCTACTGCATCTATCATATTTGGCACTACCATGGTTCATTGAGCAGAAAGCCAACCAGATAAGCAGCAAAACTTCCGTGGACTTCACCCATATGTGAAAGCTTTCCACTAGGAGTAAAGATAAAGCTTACATGTAAAGACCACAACCTAACATTAAGTTACAAATTTAACGTATTTCACTCGTTGGAGCTGATGAATATATCAAATATTACAGTTTTTCATTACTGTCAGACATCACCAGCAAAGTGACAGCTTGACAGGGTTGGTGAATTTCTACAACTAAAGCCAGCAACAATGTTTTGATTTAAGATGTCACTTTTCCACAGCAAGTACCCCAAACAATTTTGTTCCTGGGCCACTCATTCACTGAATCAATTCTGCTTGCAAAAAATTAGCATAGAATAATGCTTTAAGCATATGAGGGGAAAAATAATAACCAAATACCAAAACATTTATCTCATAAGCATCATAAATTACTGGACTTGGTAATACCAGGGTTGCCTTTTAGTGCCTGACACCCCACCCTAGTAAAATTCCAAGTTCAAGGGCAGACCAGCCAAAGATAGCCTTAACCAAAGACTTCGAGTACTCCAAACACTCTACCTCTATCCAAATTACCTATCCAATTATCTATCCAAATTACTATGACTGGCAGAGCTAAGCAAGTAGGAAAAAGCAGAAAAACTAGTAAAGATTAGTTGGTCTGATGTAACAGGCTGCTCTAACATCTGTGTAAATTCACAGAACATCTGATCATGTAGTTACAATTCATTTTACTATTTAATAAACTCACCTGTGCTATCTGATGTATTACTTTGTGTTTGGAAGAGGTGAGAGTATATTTTTTAATATTTTCAACTGTCTCTGTTCTTTTCCTCAGCTACATGAAGTACCTGGAAATACCCTTCTCTTGACCACATTAAGGTTTTCAAGCAGAGCTTTGTAAGGCCTAGAAATTCAGATGACAACATAAATTGTTTAAAAGAAAACTGGAAAAGTCCTACCTTTAGCCCAGGCTTTTCTTTCATAGATCTCCTCTACTGCATCTGAAATCTTCTTGATGTTCTCTTTGACTTTTCTCTGGCGTAAGTTGGAACCCTCTTTATATGCTAAATGATTGTGGGTGTAAGTCTTTTCTGTGATGGCCTCCACTACCTCCAGTCCATCATATATTATTGGATCTATCTTTCTTCTGAAAAAGTCTGCATAGTATTGGTAGGCAGCGTTATTATTTCTGTGCTCGTCTGTGTTCCTGTGCTCCACATAAGCCTCGCTGGCCACTGAAACCACATTTCCTTCCACAAGCAGCTTCTCCTCCTCGCTGATGTCTGCTGGTGTCTCATCTTCATAAGGGTCAGCCTCCATGTTTTCTGCCCGGCTGAAATAGTTTTCAGAGCTCTGGATAAACCTGACTCCACAGAGATCACACTGAGTTTGGTCAATATCTGCTTTTTTGAAGATCTCAGACAGAAATTCCTCCTCTCTTGCCATTGCAACAGGCTCGGCTCTGGAGCAGGCCTTCCTCTTCCACTTTATGCACAGGGAAACAAAGTGGAAGATACGACGCAGCTGGCGCTGAGCAGATGCTTTCTGCTGTTGCTTCTGCTGCTTGCTGAGCGCGATGACTTCCAGGGGATCCTTCTGGTCCTCTAAGCAATGAACCCTTTCGAGCTCCCTTTCGAGCTCCTCAGAGTATTCCACCTTATCCAAAGAGATCATAAACCTGTTGGGGTTTATACTTTCATACAGGATGCCCCGGATGGGTGGATGGCCCTGGGTATATGCAGAGTCCCACCTCCATCGGCAGTCAACCAAGTACTCAGCGTCCCGCATGAACAGCAGCTCCTGCAGGCCTGTGACAATTTCTCTTAGATGCGTAGCACCACTCACTTGCTCCACAACCCTCAGCAACCTTTCAGGCACTTTAGAGGGAGACTCTTTTCTCATTGATTGCAGCATCGCCCTGATTTCAGGAAAGCACTGGCATACGAGGGATCTCGACTTGGAATTCTGCACCTGGTCAGCATTCAGCAGCATCACCAAGCCCAGCACTAATGCTCGTTCAGCCTCCCCTGAAGTTACGCAATCAGGGTCCTCGAAAGCATCCAGAAGGACGCTGAACCTCCCATAAACTCCACACAAAACCTCTGTCAGGTAACAGAGATGAAATCTGAAATTCTGTATGGCTACATACACGTCCTTTGGTCTGTAGTCCTGTATGATAGAAAACGTGTCTCTTCTGCGGTCCTTGCTCCTGAATAGAAACTCCCAGTAATGAATCAGAGCAATATAACTCTTTGGAAAGCAGACCGTAGTGTTCTTGGAGAGACGCATCAGGACAGCACAACAGAGAATATACTGGAATTCCAACAACATCACCGTGTTTCCTATGCTTGGAATCAGGTACTTTGTGCATTTCTTAACCAGGACGTTCATAAAACGGAAAAAAACCCTTTTGCAGTTTTCTGGGTTTTCATGAACATAGAATTGCTCAAGTGAATTTTCAAGAAGCCGAATGAAGCACAAGTGTGTTCGTCCTGTATTTTCAGCATTTTTGTCAGGTAGCAACATACCATGCCTCCCCTCTATTCCTTTGGCCTTTCCTCTTTGGCCTTTACTCTTTGGGCAGTTCTTCGCCTTCGACAAAGCAATGGTTAGCTCTTTGTTATAATCATCCTCCTCCTTAAGAAGAAGCTTCTCAAATTCCTCAGGATATCCTGAAGATAAGATGAAAGCTTGCATGGCACTTAACCACAGGTCTGTTGATTCTCTTCTGGCTGCAGTGGTTTCATTTCGAAACTTAAACATGATGTACTCCTTCAACACCGCTCTGCAGGGTTTAGAAATAACACTGCTGAATTCCAGTATTTCCTTGCATGCCTTTGGGTTCTCGGACAGTATTCTCAAATGAAAATGACTTGGAAAAGACATGTCTAGGAGAGCTTTACATGAGGCATATTTGTCAGTGGTCAAACGGTCAAAGGTCAGCCACTGGCTCAGTAGCTCTTTAGGGAAAGTGTGTGCAGCTTCCACCAACAATCCGTTTATTGCCACCAGATACATTTTACACTCAAATACTGTCTTTGCTTCATGACGCAACAAGGGCTTATGGTAATCCTGGCAGGCTTCATCTTCACAGCTCAAGCCAACGATGAACTTCCTGCAAATATCTGGGTAATGCTTGCTCAGTAACTCGTAGGTGATAGAGCACAGCCTGCTTAACAGGTGCTGCTTCAAAGCTGATTTTACCTCCTCTGTGCTTACTGAGAGATCGCCTTTCGTCTTCCTCTCCTTTAGACTTCGCTTGTCTGGCAAAAACTTGAGAATGGGTTCAGCTTCATTTTGAGACACCTGGCAAGTGTCACCTGTTGGGACAATCCCAAAATAGGCAAAGCAAGACTTCACCATATCTTTCTCCGCATTGGTGGCTGCTTTCTTCAAACCCCTAACCAAGCTCAGAAGAGCCATTAAGCCGTCTGTGGCCATAAAGAGGATTTTCTGGCTAGGAGCGCTGCAGCGTGATAATGCAAAGAGAGCTTCAACCGCGCCAGCAGAATGATTCAGGGAGAGGAACAGACAGTATGCACTGCTCAGCTTCGCAAAGTCTCCCTGCAGAACTCCCTGCAAAAACACAGCCTCGGCAATGCCAGACTTCTGCTCGGTTTGTTTGCAGAGCTCCAGGGCTTCTCTGAGGATGACCTCCATGTTTGCCAGGTCCAATTCCAAACTGCGAGACAAGCCAGCGCGCGCTGCTGCAAGCAAACACGACGCACGAAACTCTTTGATAGCCGTGAGGTTGGCTGCTTCCAGAGCAAACCCATGCTGTTTCATCAGCTTCGCAGCTTCTTCCTCTCGACCCTCCCTTTTCAGCAAGTCTGCAGTTTGGTGCAAGCACCCACGAGACTTCAGAAACTCAAGCTGATCCTCTATATCGACTTTTAAGAGGACTCGCATCATTTCCTCCGTTCTGTTCATGCTCAGGTACTTTGCGGCTGCTTCCAAATACAATTGATTCGCTGTACACGAGAGTTTGGAACCCATTTGTCCTTTCGTATTTAACATCTCTTCATACCTGAAATAACAGAAACATCCATTTACTACCACAGATGACTAAACAAGACAAGAGAACCACTGCATTTTTAAAAAAGCCCCCAAAACATGATACACATAACTGCCCCCAGAAGCCTTTCCTTCAAAAAGCCAACTATTTCAAGCAACGTGTCAGTCATGCAAAAAACAACCTTAGAAGATCTACAGAAAGAATATAGCTGCATCATAAGGCTGTCTGAAGTAAAATTGGTAAAACTGTTGGTACAAACAAGATCACAGGGTTTACAGCATTTATGACTCTTTCTCCACACTGCCAAATCACTGCACAAGTTGTTTTAATCATGTTTTGCCAGTGATAAGCTTCTGTTTATTAAAGGAAGACTCAATGTAGAATGATTGCCTACATGAACAAAAGCCAGAACAAAAAAAAGCATGAACTTCAATTAATGTGACAGGCCAGTATAGATAATGTTCTGTAAAATTTACATAAACGGGTCAGTTTAGAGAACTCTCAGTTGACATATATATCTATATATAATTTTCTGCTTACTGAGTGACTGAGCAAAGTACCTGGCTGCATCTTTCAAAACCTGAACTTTAAAACACTCCGTTATCAATTCTTATTGGCAGATGTGAAATTATTAACATCTCCTCTAAGCCAGTCTTGCAAAAATATTCACTCCTGCATGTTGAGAACAAGTAATTTTTTCCTGATGGCTGAGTAAATTACCATTAGCCTTTCAGCATCAGCTTTTTTCCCACGATAAACATGGGAGTGCAGATTTTTGTGCCAATACTGACGAATTTGTATGAATGATTTGGGGAGGCTAATTTAAAAAAAAAAAAAAGTTAACTTGTAAGGTGACTGCAATGCTTCAACGTTTTGATCAAACTACCTCTCAATATTCAACAAGCTTTCATCCTTAAAAAAAAAAAATTGTCGCCATTTTAAAAAGGTATATCACACAGGATTTCATGTGAAGGTGTGTAACTACAAAATTCTAATTGGTGTATATATTCTTTAAAAGTTTAATTAAAAAGTAATTAAAAGTGTGGCCAATATGTGAGCTGTTTACATAAGAACGTGCTAATGAGGTCACAGGGATGGTGCCGGATGCAAGGTTAAATAAACTGATAAAATCATTTTATCAAGCAGCTCTAAATTGCAAGGCAGCTCTAAATTGCCCCAAACGAGCCCAGGGGAGATGCTACAGAAAAATTCACCTCAGTGACTGGGACCAAGAGGGGCAATGCAAGCTGAGCATTTAAAATTACCATCCTTTGCTCTTAAGTTAGAGATTTGTGAAAGACAAATAGTTTGTTTGCCACAATGACTGCTGCACTATATACCACACAGTTATACCCCTACAGAAGTCAGGAATGGATTTAATCTGTTAAGTCACTATTTCAGTCTTTTTAAGAGAAGTATCTAATAACTCCACTAAATGTTTTTTGTTTAGTTCGGAGAACTCACTGAAGGACAACTTCTATGATGAGTAAATACAGACTGGAAAAAAATTTCCTAGGAAAATGAAGTTAGTCACTGCTCAAGCTGCGAATACAGTAGAACGCTTTCGCCGTGTTATCGTTGCCTGACTGGGAGTTTCGACAAAAGTTAATTTAACTTCACATAAAGTCACCAGCCAAAATGCTTGTAAAAATTTTACACTGAGTGAGCTGCACTCTTTTGAATTTAAAAGTGGAAAAAGAAGTTATATTCTAATACCATCTTGGAGGACGTACCTTTCAACTGCCTTTGCTGCTTCTTCATAGAGTTCTTCCTGACAATACATTTTAACAGCCAGATCAAACTCCTCAATTTGTTCATAACATTCCGATGCTTCTTTATAGCACTGGCTTTTCTGATAGTAAACTGCAGCATCTTTCACCTGCAATGCAGAAGGCAGGAATGAAACTGAGGTACTCTAAACAGTCAAAACTACATAAATAGAATAAATCTAGAAATTCCATCATGTCGGTGTACAAGAAGCCCACTTCAATAAAATGTAATTAAAGTTTCTGAATGAAAACCTACTAAAGTTACTATCATTAAAACTGAGTAAGTTACAAAAAAAAAAATAAAATCAAAGTATTTGTGTCCATAAAACTAGAATGTAAAATTGGAAGTATTATACAGGATTTCCAAAGTGCTTTTTACTCACACTCAGCTCTGCCTGTTGTTAAAAAATACCACACACTTCTGCTGATTTGCTAATTTCTCAGAATCAACCAGACTGAAGTAAAACAGAATGGGAAATCTAACCTTCTGTTTTCAACTTTAAATATCTGGGAAGAATTACTTTACATTCTTTTAGTGGAAATGCACTGCAAATAAATAATGTTAAATGAAAAATTTAAAAAAGTATTTAACACCTTTCCCAACTTTTTACACAGCTCTGCGCAAAGCCAGAACTCCTTTGATTGAAACAGACATTTTAGTGATAGTTTTGGTTCTCCACATTCCAAGTAAGTTTTAGCCAGTGTCATATATTCCATCTGTTTTTCCCTGTCAAAAGAAAGAGAAAATTACCAATTACATCCCAATTATGTTTAGGATCACATGCTTTGTCACAGAATCCAACCAATACTGACTTTATGTGTTCTATTTCATATATAACCTGATGAGTTATTACCTTACCATTAGTTATATTTTGGGCTGACACTGTTCTCTCTAGAAACGTGTTCCAGTTCTCACTGCTCTGCCCATAAAAATCTTGTTTGTTTCTCTTTTTAATTCTCAAACTAAAACACACTAGTGCAGTTTTGTGCTGCTTCTCCCTCCTGGCTTAATCTGCTCCTTCTTCTTTCAGCTGTTTAGTCCCAATTAAAGAGAAAAATCAATTTAGTTCTCAGCCTTTGCTCTATGTAATTAAACAAGCCCAGTTTTTCTGGTATTATCGCAGCAGGTCTATCTTCTTCCCAGACCTAGTCTGAAATCACCACTCTAGAGTATGGAAGAGCAGAACCATACATTTCATACTATAGAGCACACAGGAATCTTATGCTTTTTACACCAGCATTAATATCTCTAACTGGGAAAAAAAAAAAAATTAGCCACTGTCAGAGCTTCAATATCACATACATTCCATCATAGAATGGTTTGGGTTGGAAGGAACCTTAAAGTTCCAACTCTCTTGCCATGGGCAGGGACATCTCTCACTAGACAGGTTGCTCCAAGCCCCATCCAAGCTGGCCTTGAACAATTTCACGGTTGAGGTATCCACGACTTCTCCAAGCAGGGAAGTTGGAACTACATGATCTTTAAGGTCCCTTCCAACCCTAACTATTCTACCATTCTGTTGGAGCTGTGCTACACTCTCCAATTTCTTAAATTTCTTTTGTCATCCACAAAGATGTGAAGATGCCTCACCTGCACAGCTCTGATATCTCCTGTTCAGTCCCACAGCTGTGGTGGGACTCTTCCCCCTGTCCACATCTGTGAGGTTCTGACACCACAGAACGACATTCGCTCATCTACCTTCACACTCACCTGGGGCTGCTTTTCTTGGTGTGCACTTTGAGAACAGCATCGTGCGCCAGCGCCAGTTTGGACTTCTCAGTTGCTCCTCCCTTTTGGTAACATTTGGCTGCTACCTGGGGTGAAATCACACACAACATTCACACATGTGCATCTAGTCCCTGACTTACCACAGAAAAGCAATATTTAATTTTTACAGTTGCTGTAATGGAAAATAGAAAGACCAGCAGGGGGCCTGGAAGAAGGAAAAGGTAAAAAATTGCAGCATAACTAGAATTTTAATTACAACGTTTTACACGCAAGTACTGAAAGCAAAATTGCTGGTAGGCTGATAGAACAATAGCACATGCAAACTGAATGATAGCCTCAACCCTTAACTGGCAAGTCAGCAGGCACCTACCATATCAAATGTAGCCATAAAAGTTAGGAAAACCAACAGGTGCAAAGCTAAATCAAAAAGCACGGAATATTTATTCATGCTTTGACCAAACCAGGCCTTTTCTAAGCTAAAAAGAAACAGCAAGTTAACTACACTCCTAGCAAGATTTGCTTCATTATCAGCTCACTCACTCTGCAACACCATTATATTTTTACTCCATCCATTAATTTAATATTTGCTTCTGTTTGGAAATTGCAAGGCACTCAGAACTGCCAAATTCACCAGATAATTTATTCTTAAGGCAGCAGAGATTAGGGTTATAAAGAAAACAGCGTAGCAGATAACACAGCTAATACACATCAGATTTCAAGATGACAGTTTTACAGCTATGTGGCTCTTATCTAAACAGTTTTCTGCCCATTAAGGAAATAGCCTTTTTTTTTCTCCCAAGGAAGGCAGTCTGTATGTTGCCACCTTATTATTTTGATTTTTTGGCTTGCTATACATATCTGTTTACCATACAAAGAATTCTGTGCTGCTATCAGCAAAACCCAGAAGTTTTAGTCTTGTCATGAGTTTTTCCCAACCATCTTTTGTTTGTGAGCATTAAAACGTGGGGTTTTCTCCCTTCACAGGACTGCAAACTTCTAAATTTAACATTACAGACAATAGGCTTGGTCCCTCTTGCAAGTTGTTTACAAGTAGTCTGTAGTCACCTACATAACCACAAACCACAGATTAAGACTGCTACAGAGCAAATGAATGATCACAGATAAATTTTATAGATGCAAAGAAAAAGTTTCAAAATAGACAAGAATCCTTATTTCAGGTAAACATAAGCTCCTACCTCCCAGAAGTGATGTTTAGCATAGTAGTCTCCCTGTCCAATCCATTCTTCTGGTGTTGAAGTTTTAGCAAACATGCTGTCATCCAAGTCTAGAAGGTCACAGTTAATCATATTATGTTAGAATGGATAAACCACAGAAACCACACATCACTCACCGAAACTGAGAATTAACATCTCATAACATCAGTAATCTCAATGTCATTTGTGTTCACACCAATAATGGTAACTGCGAGTCAAAAACATTTTACCCCTCTCAATCAGCACTGAAAATCAATGAGCTTGGTTTGGCTTTGAAAGATCTATACATAATAGTCTTTTATAGTGCTTTTATAAAAAGCAAGTTTTTATTTGACAAACCTCTTTTAGCTGGGATGGTTTGCCAGGAACAGCCTTCGTTACCGTGCAGGTGTGACAGATGTGCTCCTCCCATCTGAACTGAGTTTTGGCCCAGGCAGATGCTCAGCAAGAACACCTGACCAAAAGTTCATCCTATCACATGGGGTTATCAGCAAGAACAGCATCAAAACAAAAAAAACCAACCAGTTTGACTGGAAACGGGCCCAATAAGTGGCTGAAACTGTATAAACAGCAGAAAATCTGACTGCAGATTGACCTCTTTATGCTATAAATATCTGTGGCTGTAAGGGTCCATGGCTGTGCTGCAGTGACCTTCCCTTGAACAGGGAACACCTCTCACAGGTACCCCTCGAGGCTGAGGAGTCCCTTACCTAACACCAGGCATCGGCAGGTTAAATAAGTGACATTTTTGCACGCATAAAACATTTCAGATACATAAAGTAAGCTTATACAATAATCTTTGTATTCTGTACTAGCTTGCAGTGCAGTAGGGTTACTGATAATCAATCCACCTGTACTTATTAAGTGTTTTACATACCTAGATTTACTGGTTAGAACTCAATTAACTACTGGACCAGATCCAAGTGATCTCTGACTCTTCTCCTGTGACACCAAGAAAACTTCTGCTAAAAATTAGCAATGAAGTTATGTATTATCATACAAAACTGAGCTTTAAAGCTAAAAGAAAAGAGACCCACTGAATTTGGGGGACAATGGTAAGGGAAGCTATCAAGACACACTGTTAAGTTACCAAGGATTTAACCTTCTTTATTACACAGCCTAAAAGCAAGAAAGCATGAGGCAGCTGTCCTGTTTGACAGTCTTTTAAAAGAGTTTTAGGATAACTCTACCTTTCTTTTCATCCGCTTTGACAACCTGAACAAATCCTCTTTTGATGAAATACTTAAAAGCTGGAGCCCGTTTATCACTGTCTTCATCAAAGATCCAAAGATTGACTCTGGCTCTTGTAACGGCTGTATACAATTGCTTTAGTTCTCCATTCAGCATCTGAAGTAGAACCAAAAAATCCCATTAAAATAGAATGCAACACACCAGAATAAAATAAATTAAATGCCTGATGAAATAAATTGTTAACATACTTAGCAGTTATAAGAAAAAAGGAAATCTATACAGAATAACTAACAAATAAGAAAGTAGCTTTAACTAAGCAAGTCTAGATACTAAATCTGTTATTTATCAATTACATAAGTCATTTGCCGAGCTAATTTGCATGAAGCCACTGCTACAGCAAATCTAGCAACTGCAGGTGTGACATTCCACTCTCCTTCTAATCACTTGCACATATAATTATGCTTTTTTTTTTACTGTACAATCCTGAAAATTTGACCCACTAGATTTTAAGAAGTTTCCTTAATTTTAAGGTAGTGACCTGAAACCAGATTAAGAGTAATAAGTATTGACAAGATGATTTGCTATTTACTCTAAGGACAGCTGTTCTGTAAACACACCTAGAAGTCTGTAACATACAGTTTTTGCCCTCTCATGAAATTGCACTCACAAAAAAACCCCCAAACTCTTTATCTTTCAAAATCAGTATTGTGTTATGCGAATATGAACAAATACCAAAGAGATACAGCTACCTTGAAAAACTACAGGATAAAAGAATTTCTTGACAAAATTCCCATACTTCTATGATGTAAGAATTTAGTTTATCTTTCCTATTCCCAACGTTACAAAAAAACCCTCCAAAACAACAAAACAACTCACCTTGTACATTTCTTTGTTAAAGGGAGTTCTTTTCTGCGTACCAATGGCATCATCTAAAGGCATTTCGATCAGCAATTTGCTTCCTACTTGCACATCTGAATCAGGAGCATAAGAAGAAATGATCTTCCATTCTTTGCTAGCCTAAAATGTCAAGAGAATGAGGCTTACTTGGATACATTGATCACTACTGGCCATATACGCAAAAAAAAAGTCCTATGTTGTGACTGATCAATGCATCCCCACAACTGAAGAAGGGAAGACAGTCTCAATTCATAAATCTATGAGTCTTGTTTTCTACCGTGATGAAATCACCCATCTTCAGAGGAAATGGGAAATCCTTCCCCAGCTAGACCACATGTAAAAATCAAGACTCCAGAGAAAAATTTAAAAAAATGCAGAAAATGGGTAAGAATTAAATACCTCTGAATCGGTGAAGAAGTTGTAAAGGAGCACATCATCAAATTCTAAGCCCTTCGCTTCATAAATTGTCAGTACAAGTGCTAAACTAAGTTCTTCTGGTATCTTCTCCTTTGCAGTTTCATTTGCCACTAATACCACCTGTTGTAAAATACATTTTAAAAAAAGCACATTAGGAAGCAAAAAGAAAAACCCCACACCACAAAATGTATCAGCTGCATAGTCAAAGCCTACAAACACATCATGATAATGCAAGAGCCTTCTCAAACTCAGACATTTAACACAGATATTGCAGCACACTCCACAAAAAAGTCACAAAGCTGCGACTAGCAGATTGACAAACACATGGTATGTGCAGACAGTTGTACATCTGGTGTAAGAAAATCTGGAGTTAGAAAAGAATGGGACACGCAACCCCTGATGCAAAAAACCCCAAGAAAACAAAACACAAAACCCCTGCAAAAGCAGAAAGAGCCAGATGTGTATTAAAAAGAAACAGAAAATAACACAATAGAAGTTTTCTAAGTTTAAATAGCAGGATTTATCAGCAAGATAAAAGGGCTTAAAAAAAGAAAGTTATGAGAAGTCCATATAAAAAGATTATTTAGCAACAGAGCTGGAAGAATCTGAAAGAAGCCACGTATCTAAGAAAAGCAAACCTGATGTGCTCCAAATTCAATGGGTTGCGTTTTCCTTTTATTGCCCCTCAACAGAATTGCTAGGTCACTAACACTGCAGGACTCCAAGACCGTAGGTTTTGGTCCATCAAAGAGACCACAGTCCTTAGGAAGCCGATCAAAAGATTCTGGGAAATAATGCTGAAGCAAATCAACCACTCCGGATGCTAAATGGAGAATACCTGTCATAAGCAGAATAGAGATTTTAAACTTCAGTCTGTCTCATGCTTTGTCGTAAGCACACTTCTACAAGATTGTTAGAATTTTGAAATACCAAGACAAAAACATTAGTCAGAGAAGAGAGAAGTTGTAAGGTCTACTTTTATGTTTCTGTCAGTTTGAGTGATCCTCATTCTTGGGCATGTAAAGATCAGAAAGCACACTATAAAGGCTTAGCAGCATCTTCACAAGAAAAAGGTGATAAATGAGAAACAAATGAGAAAATACAAATGAGAAAAAAGTTTACCAATGCTGCTAAGTCTAGCAATCTGGGGATGGCAAAGCAGAAATGGATATGATTATTTATTGAGTTTTCCTTCAACCACACACACATAATCAAAACATGCTGTAAGCATGAGTGTTCACACACACACACACAAAAAGCAATTTAAAAAAAAGTAAAAATGTTCATTCTTGGTTTTCTAATTGAAATGTCAAAATATAGAATTTGCATGTCAAGAGAAAGCTGACCATCTGATCTCTTAAAAAGCCAGGCTGCTTAGAAACTCTTCAAATGGGCCTGCAGAAAAATTCAGTCATTAGTGACACCTGAAGAGCACAAGCTCAGAGCATAAACAAACTTGTTACTCTACCTGAATGAGACCTGTAGTTCTGGTACAGCTGATAGATCCTTTTTGGTTTTCTAACACGCTGCTTCTTGTTGATGGAGTTCTTGCTCGCATAATGAAACAGTGACCTCAGATCACTGAAACGAAAAGCAACTCCTTTCATGATGCTCTGGGCCGTGTCTCCAGTCAGAAACATGGCATTAGGGTCATTGACGCACTTCATCAACAGTGCCAGCTCGGCTTGGGTGAAATCCTGTATCTCATCACCATAAAACTCGTGGATGGACCACGGCAGCTCCCTGAGCTTTGAGAGCCTTCGAGATAAATTATACAGCAGATCTTCTTCATCAAAGTAACCTCTCTGTGATCGCATCTGCTGATAGAGGCAAAAGAGGTGGTAGATTTCGCTCCTGTCTTCAGTGAAGTTTGGTGATCTCTTTCGGCCTAGCTTTTTGTACTCCTCCTCAGTGAGTCTGCCCCCAAAGCAACTCAGTGCCTCAAAAGAGCCCTTCAGAAATGATTTTATTTCCTTCCAGACCAGCGCTGGATTGTACACACTTTTACCTTTTATCATTTTTGGCCACATTTCATTTGCAAATATATCGTAAGTCACAAAAGTCCGAGGATCGCTTTCCCTAGAGTACGTATCTGCAGCTCCTTCATCGTCACCTTGTTCTGCTTCAACATTACCTTCTTCATCCTCATCTTGCCAATTCGGTATAACCAAGTCTTCCTGAGGACTCCAACCAACAATGACTCTCTTAAGGCTCCCATCCTCATTTCTTGGAAAAAATGGGTCAGGCATGGAGGCATCCAGTAACAGCAACAACTGCTTGGAGGTGACAAACAGCGGGAAGTTTTCATCTTTAATGTCTTGTAGCTTGTGAACATTTGGCTCCAGAGGCTTGAAGTGACTGGTTACCTTGGAGGACTTGCTAAGCTCAATAAAATTCTTCTGAACTTCTTTGCACAAGACAGGATTTTTTGTCACAAAGATCTGGTGCAGGTGCTCCAGCCTGTTCAATGCTTCTGCACCACATGTTTGGTTGTCTTCGTGGTCATCACATGAATTCACTTCAGCACTAGCTGTGCTCTTTGCATCCTCATTGTCCTGGTCTTGCTCATCACTCATCTGCTCCTCACTTGAATCATCACTGTCCTGATTTAGTTCACACTCTTCCTCCTCTAACCTGGCTTTTTCAGTCTCACTGCACTGTCTTTGCTGCCACGTTTGCCTCTCCAGCAGAGGACCATTTGCCAGGGTGGATTTTTCCCAGTACGAGTAAAATTTCTTCCAAAGCCTATATAAGCAGCAAGTTGTCTTCCCCGTTCCGCTTCGCCCAATTAAAATGATAGGCTCCATTGGCTTCGGATTAAGATTGATCACGGCATACTCCAGCTCCCCAACTCGGAAAGGGTATTCAGCAGAGGAATGTACATCGTTTATAATGTTGAGTGCCATGTTGGTACTGAAGCTGTGAAATTTCATTATGTTGTATTCCAATTCTGCTGCACTGGCTGGAGGGAAATACTCGGGTATAGTGTGTTCTTTAGATTTTTCTGCTTCCGAGTCTTCAATGTAGCAACGCGGAACGCGCTTCTGTGTTGTCACATTGTGGTTCTGATGTCCTTCGCTTATGCCCTTGAGCTTTTTCCTCAAGATGCAGGATAAACCACGATTGTAGGAAACACATATGTTCTCTAAGACACGGTTCAGCTTGCAGTGGTCGAGAACAATGGCCCAAATTCTGATCATTTCTGTGTAAACTCTACCTGATTTTTCTGGAAGGCTTTTTGTCTGTTCTGTCTCCATGATCTTTTCTGCACTCTCGCTGCAACGAGGAGAAAAGTCAATCGCAAGCTCCCACAGCATCCTTGCACCTTTGCCCAGCTTGGCTTCGTACAGCTGGATATCAGCTTTCAAATGCTTCAGCGGCTTCTGAAGACCCCTAGTCCACTCCCCATTGCCAAGCTGCTTAATCGTCATTATAGTTTTCGTTTTCAGGTAATGAGGCACAGCTTTGCTGCCCAAGGTCTTCAGCGCTTCAGGAGTGCATTCTATTTCCCAGGTCATGTTATCGAACTCCTGCACGTATGCCTCAATATCCAGAATCTTCTCCTCTGATTCTTCCTTCTCTCCACTAGGCAGGGCCACACGAAATTCCTCCTTTTTCTCCCAATCATCCCTTTTCCCTTTGGGGTAAGCTACACTTCCACAAGGTTGCAAGGACTCACTCCTTCGCTCTTCCACATTAGTCTGGGCTGACAATGGGTTTTGTACTGGAGGATGATCCTTTCTCAGGACATCACCCAGTTTCAATTGCTGAATTAAAACTGTGATTGCTTGCACCAGACTTTCCCGTAGTGTTAAGGGGCTATTTACACTTTCTGTTTCCTGCTTTGCCAACTGATCTTTTTTCATCTTTACAGAACAGGGTTTTTTTAAATCATTCCGTGCCATGCTGCCAGATGGTGCCTTTAATGAGGACCCAGACGAATTGCTCTTTGGCGGTGAAATTGCAGAGGCTGGAATGGGCTTCGCTGTTTTAACTGACTGCCCTGCTATATCCTGCCAGTACTTTTTCCTCTCCAGCACAGCGTTATTCCAAGCAATTAGCAGTGGGTCTTTCTTTTTGATTCTGTGCCTCACGTCTCTTCCCAATTTGTTTTTTATATTGAAGTTGACATCGAATTTTGCCAGTGACTCTGTTATTCTCTTTGCCTGCCTTGAAAATCCTCTCTGAAAAACAACATGCATCACTGTATTGCCGTTCTCATCCTGTGTGTTTGGATTAAGATACGGAAAGTCAGAAGGCTTTGAAGCGAAGAGATCAAGTAGATAGTTCAGGATGTTTAAACCAGTATCATCTGAAAGGAAGAGAACAAGTAAAAAAAAAAAATCATTTTTGTAGGCCAACAAATTCTAATACTTTTTTCCTGCAGCTACTAAATGAAAATCAAATTGTTTTGAAAAGAAAAACAATCTATATTTTGTGTTTGTAAAACATGCTTATTTGAAATGGCTCAAAACTGAGCTTTTCTAATATTCAGGAAAAAAACAGCACAAGAGCAGCAAGAGCCTCAGAAATCCTTAGTGCTGCAACTGTGCCTGTAGCATCAGTCAATTTTATACCTTTTTTAACCTCCAGGTGCCAATAGATTCATTCATTGTCTAATCTCAGCCCTGAACACTAGAAAGAAGAGAGATACAGCTTTCTAGATTTAATCCGGGTAATACATGTGAAATATTTCTTTCCTAACTGCAAAATAGTGACATACCAAAATCCTTGTAAAGAAATTCCACCTCAAAAATTTTACATGGTGCAAAATACATAAGAGACTATGTTGTCATTGCACTTCAGCTTTTGATTTAAGATTTCCAACTGGACATATCTATGCTTTTAATCTCTCCACAGCTATTAAATGAAATGTTTATGCTTTAAAAATTAATAAATTGAGTATTTTTAATTACTTCAATCCTTCAACTAAAAAATGCCTTTTTTTTCTTAAATTAAAATGAAGCCTAATTTCTGGGCTTAATTTGATAGTTTAATCTTAATTTCTTATGTTTTTATGTAAGCCCTTAAAGTTACTCCTCTGAATAAAACTTTGCTGGATTTCCAACTGAACAAAAAAAAAAAGAAAAGAAAAAAAAAAGGGGGAGGGAAAACACATTTCAGATGCCATTGCAGGATTTCCTTCAAAGCCTAATGCCAGTCCTCTGCCTTTACCTTTGTTCCTTCCAGCATTTTCTTTCTAAATTAGCTCAATTAAGCAAGATTGGATAGGTAAGATTCCCCAGGCTCTGGCACACAACCCCTCTTACCTCTGTTATTTAAACAGATGGAAACTGCAGCGTGCAAAGGAGTATCTCCTTGTGCAAGGGAGACGTTTCGAGGATCCGCACCTTTGGTCAGCAGCAAATAAGCCAGATCAAAATAATTCTTTCTGAGGCACGTTTGCAGTGGTGTTTCAGAGTTGGTTCCAAGCCCATCTGGCAGAGCTGGTGTGAAGGACATGAAAATATCAGGGGTTAAATTCAATACAGCAGTTCTGCAAACTACACAGAGTTCTAAACACATAAAGGTACACATGGACTGCTGAACAGGTGATTTCTTCTTTTGCCAGCTTTTTACATGTTAGAGAGCTTCTGACTAAGAAAGTCTTCAGAATCTTATCTCCCACTAAGCCTGAGAAACCAGTCCTCCCATTGTGATAGAAAAGCCAGAACATTTCTTTAAGTCAGTCATCGACCAAAACAAAAAGTGTCCTGGCACCTCTGGCACTCACAAGGCTGCAGCAGGACTATGTGTCCATAACGTACAACCAACATCAAGTTACGAGATGAAATGAAAAGTGCCAGAGCAATCCCAAGAATACATGTCATGTAAAACAGCGGCAACGGCAACCGGCAACAGCATGACTTCTACACTAGCTAAAAAATAGAGACAGACACCTGGTCATGCCTTTGAAATCACTGAAGTAGAATCATAGCATGGCCTAGGCTGGAAGGAACCTTGGAGATCATTTAATCCAACCTTCCTGCCGTGGGCAGGGACGTCTCTCAACTAGATCAGGCAACACATGGGGATCGAACAGGGATACTCCATTACTTGTATTACAACAGACTTAACCCAAAGACCATGGCTTTTGGTTTTTATCATATATTGTGGTGAAGAGAGAAAAGAAAATGCACAAAAACTACAAACAAAAGAGCAAAGATAATTTTTGTCCTTTTACCGCCTAATATAGAGCCATAAAAAACCAAACCCAAATCGAAAAACTCCATGCCTTGGTATATCTGAAACAACATTGCTCCAAACATGCCAAATAAAATACTGGATCTTTTATAACACATTAACATCATAGAGCTTTTCACCTCCTCGTTCAATCAAGCATCTTATGAGGTGCACTTGCTCATCCAATCTGTCGCACCGCTGGATAACATTGCCAATGTCAATGTCTGAAAGGCTGCAGGTTTTGAAGAGTCCTCCACCTGACGGGTTTTCCCCGCTGGCTTTCCCCGTGAGCAGCAGTAAAACCGCGTGCCACATTTGCTTCTCCAGCAACTGTTTTACAAAGCTGTTAGCACAGGAATGGGAGATGTTGCAAACTGCCCCTGCAGGGATTTCTGCAAGACAGTCAAGACAATGTATCTCACTTAAAGCCACATAATAAAAAACCCACCTTGCTGTAAACTAATTTCAGAAGAACAAACTCAAATTTGAAGCACAGAACAGCAAAACGCAACACTTGCGTCTTTCTGTCCTTATGCTGACAATCAAGTAAATTTGAACATTTTGATTCGTAAGACTGGGTTATCATGTCTATTCTGGCCATTTTAAGTGCAAAACACAACAGGAAAAATTTGTTCCAGCAATCTTGGTTGCAGAAACAGGTGACAGAAGTTAAGGGTAAAAGAACAAAAGCTGTATGTTAGCATCAAACACATTTTTCACAGCAATTAGGTTTTGTGAAGGGGAGAAACGGGAACTCACTGTACCTTTCAGAGAAGAGAGCAGTTTCAGAAATTGCTTAACAGCATCTTCCTTCAATACATTTTTATTATGTGCTCCATTTTCAAGCTTGTAGAACTGGACGAACCGTTCAAGAACACCCAGGAAAGAATCTTTATTGGCTACGTCTCTGCATTTACTCCCCCCTGCAAAACATTACAGAAATTGAAAACAGAGTTCCTTGCTGGAATGCTTTCATCAGGGTAGGACTGTAACACACTACACCTCAAGGCTTTAAGAAATGCGTAGCGGCAGGTTAAAAATCAGACGGATTTCATATTCCAGAGGGTATCTGATACGCTCACAGAACATACTCTTCAGCATAATACTCTGGACTGGAAATTTTAATAGTTGACAAGCTGATCCCCACGCAGGCAGGATGCAGTGTGGCACGGCCCGACCTTTCAGGATCGCTAATTCCCAGACCAGGATTAAGGTGATTTACACCAAGGATCCGAACAGCAATTTTAGTTATCAGTCACCTGTCAACGAGGTATCTCAATTGCCCACTCAGTGCAATTGAACACACTTCACAACAACAGGTTATTAATAAGCAAAATAAACCAGCCTTGCCATAGGTAGCTTCCTGTTAAAGCTAGAAAGAGAGAGAAGGAAAGGGACAGAAAAAGGAAAGATCACCACCCTTGGATCCAGCGATGAGCACACGCAGCCATCTCCTAGGGGTGGGCGAAAAAGCACCCAACGGCCCGGGGTGAGCGCCTTTTATACAGTCAAGTTCCCGCCATAGACTGGGAATGAGGCTGGGGGATGGTGGGGGCTTCTGAGGGGGGGGTACCCCTCCCTCTCCCGGCTTCTTGCAGCCACAGCTCCCAGCCCCACTTGCCCCCACAGCTCCACTGGTGCAAGGCTGGGGCAGGGGCTCAGCAAAGCACTGAGTCTCCCCAACACAGACGGGGCCAGGCAGGTGGCTCTGGCTTCTGTACTGCTTGAGACATTTGTTTAGTCCCTTACTCCCTCCACCACACTAAAATGATACCCACAAGTTTACAAGATACATAGATGTTGCAATGGTAGATTCTAAACTATGTCCCAATAAATGCCCTTAAATGAAAACTGACAGACTTGGCCTTTCCACTCACATTCTCCTAATTTCAGAGCTTTTTCTTTTTTTGTTATTAAAAGCATTTTAAATATGTCACCAACAATTTAACAAAATGTTTTGTTTTTCATAAAATAGAAATATTTTAACAAAACGTTTCATTTTTGAAAAATAAAGAAAAGGTAAAAGGTTAAAACAGGGAAGCAGTTCCTATGGTGAGGGAGCCTCACGTTAAGGGCAAGAAAAAAACCCAATAGTGGCTTATAGTAACTTAGAGCAATTTGTAATTACTTACTGGATGATACACATACTAAGAAAATCAGGTGGACAGCAGTCACCTTCAGGCAGGGACAAAACATTCATCAACAACTGAGAAGAGATCAGGGTGACATCTTATAGGAAAAGTTACATAAACACCATCTACTAGTATCGGTTACATATCAAACAATTTTATATCCAAAGGATATAGAATTTAAACCAAGGAAAGCACACAGCTCGTGTAGTACCTGTGCAGTTCTTGGAGGAAGCGTGTTTCTCAATGTGATTACTGACTGCTTTTACAGCATCAAAGTTCTTGTTCTTTTTCAGGATGTCTATGACATATCGTGACTGTGCATCTGGAACAGTGGGATCAACCCCAAAATTCAGGAGCATGATCACATCTTCTGTTTGGCCTAAAACAGAGCACAAATAAACATTAAAGGAAGAATAAATTCTCATCATTTAGGGGTTTTGTTCTGTTTTCCTTTGTATTTAATTCCATGGCACAACTTCTCGCATTATTTAAATTTGCTGCAAAAGACCTGTTACACCTTTCCAGAAAATTATTTAGATACAGATTGCATGCATTTCATCCACACTATTAAAGCAAAATACCAGAATGTCATCACATTTAATGACTCAAAAGTCTGGTAGTATCTTGGCATTGACACTTACTTCTCTTGCCACCTAGTGAGAAGAATAAGAAATACAAGGAAAAAAAAAAAATAGCCAGGCTAATATAAAGAAATCCCAGAGAAAACATGGAGAGCATTTCCTTTTCTTCCTCTGACAAGCTACACTGCTATTTAGGTTTTTAAATCTTCACCCATGTAAAAGAACAGGAAAGGTCTCCAGGTGGTCCAAGACGATTTTAAGGGCACATCATACTTCAAAAGGTAACTTCTACAATTCTAAAAATTGCAGCGTACTCATGGGAAAATCATAACCAGTCACAGAAAATGCTCACAAATGAGGTACACAATTTTAAAAGGGAATTGTTGAAATGTTTCAGTATTATTTGCCATTACAAAGTCTACATTCAGCTAAAAGAATTTTCTCATTTTCTTCCTTAGCATGAAATAGTAAACATCCGAGTCTGAAATTTTCTTCTGTTATACACTTTGCGTAGGAAAACAGAACACCACACACACGCAAAAAAAATATTATTTACTGCTTTTCTGGGAATATTCACTGGAAGATGCCACAACATGCAGGAGGGTGTATCCATCTCTGTCTTTCTGGTTGATCCTGTCCTTCAAGTGTGGCCTCTGAGTCAGTAACCATCTGAAGAGATGGTTCTTTCCTGAAATAATAACAAAAAACGCCACTTGTTATAAATGGCAAAGAGATCCTGGGGTTTTTTTCCCCTATGGAGTGGCAAGATGCACCTGTACAAAACCTTGTCTGGAAGATGGGCAGTAGGAGAGCGGAGAAATACGTGGAAAAAAAAAAAACCAACCATGGTCAGAGGTAGGTACGTGGTAGGAGACAAGATGTGATGCTCTTGCTGACTTGCAAGTGCAAATCCAGAGCGGGCCCACAACTCTTTAGCACATACAGAAACTGCCACGGAGGTGGTAGGAAGAAAGTACTGTATTTTTGTCAAAGCTGCTATATATGCAGGTTATGAAAGACTCACATTGATCACACTTTCTCTTCAAACCATGGGAGAGAACAACCATATCAGGTTTGTACCGCCAACAGGCACAGATGATTGACGAGAGCATTTGCACTCTTTTTTAAAATAGCACCTTATTGGCACATGCAAGGTTATACCTAGATGATCTGATCTCATCAGGGTTTTCGGGGGGGGGGGGG